CTCCTCTGCTATCTGCTGGTCAGCCGGGCAGAGGCAGGACAACTTTAATATGCACTTCAGCATTTACAGGTTCTTTTATTAGTTGTCCTATATCTGTTACTAATTAAATTGCTGACTAAATTTAGTGGCAATAACCTCTATGTGAATGTAATCATGTGTTCACATAAATCTCCTCCTTGCATCAGCGACTACAAAGAAAATGAATAACCTTAAAGCTAACCTGAAGCCAGTGAAATAAAAACTGCAAGCACCTGCCAAATGATACACGTAGAGGATGGCCAAAGACCTGATCGAACAGGCCAATAGACTAACTATATAACTATAAAAGGTAAAGGTAACATTCTACTGGCCATTGAGTAAGGATGTGTGGATCAGTACTGAAATATTGCTTCTTTCAGTTTCACTGTCATTTTGAGAATCATTTGGTAATTTAAATGTTTATATTATTAAATGTTTATATTATTATAGAGAGCAGGCCATGCAGGGTCGCCCATATGGGGGGAGAAAGGGGAAGACTTTCAGGGCCCCAGACACTAGTGACTAGGGAAACAGAGCTATCGATCTGCCAGGTCACCCCTCCCCCCATCAGCAATTTAACAGTAGTGTCACCCATCCATCTGTTCAGAGCACTCGGACCCTGCGAACACCAAGAGAACCAGGAGACTGTCCCAGACATACTACAACTAACATGTGGCCAGTTCTGCTCAGGCCAGAGAGGTCTTGGGATATCAGAGAGCACTTATTAGTGCTGAAGTTTAGTATGGTGTTTACCAGTGGTTGTAACTGAATTCTGAGCTCTGGACAAACACGCTGGCAGTGATTCACTAAGTAATGAGAAGATTAGACACCTTTTTATACTGATTCACGCAATCCAGAAAGTTGTAAGAAACTTGTATTCTAACATAGCTCTATTTTAACACAGCCCAGCAATTCGTGAGGGGATTGACCAATCCAGTGCGTCACATTCTTACTTTAGTGTGCTCTAAGTTAGATCAGATTTCCATGTGGGTGTGTCTCCGTGAAAATTAGCAACCCTCCCTCAACACACATGCTCACGCGCTCACAAACAAGGTGTTCATTTAATTCCAAAGCATATTTCACTTTTATTTCTTAATTGAGGTATGTTATTCGACGGGCTTTTAGTATGGCACACGGCCAATTTTTGCACCCAATTTTTGTTTAATATTTTATATTAAACATCCCTTTTATCCCTTTTATATTGTAAATGCCTAATCTGTTCCTGTGTGTGTATATGTGTGCATGCATGCGTGTGTGTGTGAATCTTGACATTTCTGCCATAAGGAATATGAAGGCTGGGTTTTTTGACTGGCATTATATTTACCAAAAGGGTGAGGCATATTTTTAATTTTCCTTTAGTAAACAAGACTAAACATCTTAATCATCGCATTTCATGTTTTGGGCTGTTTTATGGAAACAGAACCTGTTCACTTTTCCATTATTGACAGAAACATGATTTTAAAAACCAAATATCAAGTTCTATCGTAAGTCAAAAATAGGTCAAACCTGATTGATTGCCAAACGATGACCCAAGAAAATAAAGTAAATGTACGACAGGCTGCCTGAATACAATTTTAAGTGTATTTCTTAAGTGGCTAGATGAATATTTCATAATAAATCCTGTGGAAATGTTATGGTCTGCTGGGAATCCTCATTCAGCACCACACCATTGGATAGCAGCAACAAGCTCCTCCTCATGGTTGGCATGGAAACCACACATGGAGGGGGGGGGGGGGCTAACAAAATGCAGCTGGTGAGTGCTAATTGCCTCAATTGGGGGTTGGGATTGTGGGCTTAAAGCCCAAACTGGGGAGACGGCGAACCGTCTCTGCCTATGCAGGTAACCATCATCCTGAAGGCGATGCAAAGGGGCCTGTGTCTGCCTGCAGGGGACCCCCCCCCCACTGTCCCCCTACTCAGTGTCCACAGCCCGTTCTCATCTCCTCCCTAAATAACACCTGCTCCTCATGAGGCTCCTTCTGCATCACAGATGGCTTACAGTTGTAGATCACAGAGAACTCCGAAAACCAACAGGATGTTGCGTTATATTTAAAAAAAAAAAAAAAAAGCAAAAACGATTAAGTACTTGGAGTGTTTAAAACGGTGATCGTTTCTATCTACGATATCAAAGATATCTTTCTGCTCCTTATAAACTGTCATTGTTTTTGTTCTATTATGATTCATTTGTTGATTACCATCACCAGTATAAACAAGGAGCCCGTCATTATCCGGTGTAGATTTAATGTGGGTTTAAGTGTTAATGCAGGTCCAGTTCTGCAGTTTATGTGGGGGGGGGGGGGGGGGGGGGG